AAAAATTCTGCTGTCTCTGGAAGCACCTCACGAATATGCATCATGGCTGCTTGAACACCACGGAAGTGAGAGGCATACAGAGCTCGCTTGCTAAAGTCCTTTCACCATTTTTTTCCCCGCAGAACTCGTCCCCGCTTCCATTTCATTCGTGTAAGTCTGCTGATTTGGATCGCGTCTCAGTAGGATCGGTTCCATTGCTCTCCACTGCACGACTTAGCGCCACGCATATTTCTCCGCAGGAAAGCTCGACTTCAGATACACATGCAGTAGGTATGTTTATCCCGACAGGGCTCTCTGCAGCCTAAAGTATGCGTCACCTGCTGTGTGTAAGCTAAAGGAATACGGAATTAAATCTAATTATGTACGTGAGGGTTAACGCTTAACATAAGCTAGTGTCCTGAAGGATATCTCAAATCATTCCGCAGAGTTAATTTCATTCGTATTAATCTTTCGCCTTTTACTAAAGATTACCGTGGAATTGACTCACAAAATGCGGCTTCAACCAAATTTCTGGATCCCTCCTTGTGAGGGGAACCATCATTCATTTATTTAACCTTTTTTACTTCTTCAACAACTATTGTGCATTGCGCACATTCTGTCTCAGCGATGTCATAACTCGTTGTTTTAGCAAATCCAGCATTGATTTACCTACCGTAATCGTCGAATTAACGTTGAATCACCCTTTATTCGAAGAGTTAATGTTGTCTTATGAGTGTTTTCGTTGAATGGCTGTAGTAAAAAAAAATGCCAACCCAACGTTGCACACTCTAACTCTTTCTTAAGCCCATGCAACTACATTCCAGAAGATTACAATTTCTATCGACATGCGTTGGAGATTTTAATTGTGCTGACCTACATCTAAGACATTGACTTAAGTGTCGTTGTGTCCGTTATGGGAGTCTCGACTTCTCGTTGAGGTTAACTGTTTCGTCGTAGAGGTAATGCGATGCCGAGCACGCCAATTAAAAGGAAGACACGACGGCCGACAGAATTCATTAAGTTCGTCGAAGGTGTCGTAGAGGAGCAGTCATGCTTCTATGTTGAAGAGCTTCAAGTCTCTATCCAGTCTAAATTTCCGCCACTACTAAACGTTTCGAAGGCTACTATATGCCGTACTCTTTCTTTTTGGTCTCGGCCTTAGCGCAAAGTCTTGACAATGCGAACCAGAGAGAGCGTTCCTGCTGAAATCGACACTTGCTTGTCGAATCCATCATTGTGTGAGAAATCAAAGGTAATGTGCCTTGTTGCTATGGTTTTGCGTTGTAGGTGCAGTTTGCTTTGGGCATGATTAACTTATTCTTAACGTTGGGTTATACATAAAATAAAAATTATACTGAAAAACATTCAAATTATTAGTACTGGCTTCCAGCCATATTTTATTTCTCAACGACAACGAACTTGTAGAACTTTCGCTGCGTTATAAAATATGCTAGGATGCCATTCAGATGAAAAAAAACCATTAAATGTTTGATGGTTTTTTTCGTCCGAATGCCATCCAACGGCATGGTTCATTTGGGTTATTCGGAACCCAATTAAAAAAAGTCAAATTTTGGTCGTAATAAAATATGCTTGGATGGCATTCAGACAAAAACCACATCAAATTTTGATGGTTTTTTTCGTCTGAACGGCCTTCCAGATCTCATCATTCATTTATTTAATTTTTTACTACTACTTCTACTACTACTACTACTTCTTCTACTACTACTTCTTCTACAACTACAACTACTTCTTCCTCTTTGTCTTCTACTACTACTACCACAGCCACTAGTAGTAGTATTACTACCGCCACTACTACCGCCACCACTACTACAAGTGGCTCTGTAAATCACGCCTCACTGTTACACACTCAGCTGAAACGAGCTGGAGCAAACCCGAAGCCCGAAACGTATTAGTTTTGGTTCGCGGTTACGATAGCCCTTGCGCACGAAGTGTTCTTTCTTCTAGACCTACACCAGACATCAGATTTTGCATTCAGTTCGAGTGGTGTGTCAGTTTTTTTGCTGCTATTTGATGATTCTATTGCGCATTCCCTTCTCGAAAGTCCGCACGCACCACCTT